TGGTTCTTGTTTTAATCTTTCTAATGCTGTATCTTGGTAACATAATATTGAATTATTCAATTCAGAAACCTAACTGGCCTCCATAAAATCCTGTTGCTGTGGTGCAGATGTGCACAGAAACTCTTCTTCTGCAGTATTTTCAGTCTGTGACCCTTGAGAGCCCTAACAAGACAACAGTACTTTATTGCACCCAACACACCTGCAATATTAACAGCTAATAACTGACCAGATGAAAGTACTAGTAGCCTATGTCTTTGATGTTCACTTCATGACTATCAATACTTTGTGTTTTTATAATGAAGTATCAAGACTTTATTATATTTGTTCTTGGTTTGCTTGGCTGCTTTTGCTTTTGTATTACTTCCTTCTGTGTGACATATTTGACGTCTTTATTGGAGACAGAAGGAAGTTAAGAAGTTATTTAAACATCCGATATACACTAACTTAGAATGTTTGCAAACTGTAATATTTTTTTTTAATGTTGATAAAAAAATTCTATGTTCACCAAGATTGCATTTATTTGAAAAAAAAAACATACAGTAAAAACAGTAATATTGAAAAATATAATTACAAATTAAAATATCTGTTCCATTTTGATATATTTTTTAAATGAAATTTATTACTGTCAACTTTGATCAGTTGAATGTCCTTGCTGAATAAAAGCATTTATTTCTTAAAAAAAAAAACATACTGACCATATCATGCAATTTATTATGTAGAACTAGTTTCACAAGCTTTGTAGTTGCAGCAACTCATTTTGATTTGTAGATAGTTTTGTTAAATTACTTTTTATTTATTTATTATTTATGCTTTTTTATTAATGAGTTAGTTTATGTTGTTGCTAATTTATTTTCATCTTTGTTTTAGGCTATGCTAAATTCTGTATTAATTTACCTGAATAAATTAAAAATTAAACAATAAAATAAAAAAATTTAAGTGAGCATTATCTTAAAGGGGTCATATGATGCGATTTAAATTTTTCCTTTCTCTTTGAAGTGTTACAAGCTCTTGGTGCATAAAGAAGATCTGTAAAGTTGCAAAGACTAAAGTCTCAAATCCAAAGAGATGTTCTTTATAAAATTTAAGAGTCAACCACGCCTACCTAAAACGGCTCGTTCTAACACGCCCCCACATGTCTACGTCACGATGTGGGAAGATTTGCATAATGCCACCCAAATGTTCACGCAAAGAAAGAAGGCGTAACTTTTATTCTCGCTGTAGTATTGTTGTTGCCGCCGCCGCCATGTCGTGAAGGCGCTGTGTGTTTTGTTGTGAAAGCATAACTACTTTGTTTGGCCTTTCAAAAGAGGACGATAAATACATCAACTTCACGCTGTGGATCGCCGGATCGGCTTTCACTGTGGACGAAGCGGAGTCCAGCCCGGGGTCCTCACATGTGATTGCCGCAAGCCCGCCGGCTTATAAATGCCTCGTTTATAATGGGTTTTAATGTTTTTGTCTAGTCGCTCCGGCCGGACAGGGCATCACAGTATGGTAGGGGCGTAACATTTCCGTCACACGCTTGAGGTATTCGGCCAATCACAACACACTGGATAGCTGGCCAATCAGAGCACACCTCGCTTTTCAGACTGATGAGCTTTGTAAAAATCGACGTGTTTCAGAAAGGCGGGGCATAGAGGAGAAACAATAATGTACAGTATGTGGAAAATAATGTGTTTTTTGAACCTTAAACCGCATAAACACATTTCATTACACCAAATACACAAAATAATGTTCTTTTTAGCAACATCATATGACCCCTTTAATATAAAAATAGAGAAAATGAGTGTGCACATTTAAATATCCCATATCGACCATGCTGGAAAAAACAAAAACAAAAAAAAACGAATATACTCCATATGGTACTGGTATTTTATAAAATGAAATAAAATTAAATAAATAAATAAATACATAATAAAATAATAAAACATTTACAGGCTTTATATATATATATATATATATATATATATGTTTCCACTCTCTTTTTGTTTGTCTGATGGTCATTCTTTTTCATCTGAAATATTTTCTTTTGGCACATGCATGGCCAACTTTAGTACAGTCTTCCCCGAATCATCCTTAACAATCGATTGTTTGTTTCACAGTAGGAATTTACATTTAAACTCACGCTGTTGGCTCAGGCAACTCTATCTTCTTTCCATCTGGTGAGCTGCGCTCCCTTATGTATGGCATAGGGTCTCAAATATAGCTCTAGACTCTGATTGATGAACGCTGAACATCCCAGCTGAACTGTTACTCACAGCTGGCACTCTGAGGGCCGTGCTGGGGACCAACATCCTGTTGGAGGCCATAGCATACAGGCCAGGATGTGATTAATGGGATTGCTGTCAGCACATTTTGGTTACATTCTAGCTATCAGATTCTTCAGTGACTGTATTTGGCTGTACACTAAATAGTCAGGGGGCCATTCAGTGCTGTAGTTTTTAGCTGCAAATGAGAATTGCTGTCAGTTTTTTTTTTTTTTCTAATCCATGGTGCCCTGCTGGTGCAATCAAAACGCAAAACAATGAGGACTTTGTTATTATTAGGCCATATGGAGTTCAGGTAGATGATTAAAGATGATTTAAAAAATTCCCTCTGCCTCTTACCAACACAATAATATGTCATTTTATATTCAGCTCGCCGTGGAAACATGGGTGCGTGCTGATTTACGAGGGCCTCGGCCCCTGTAGAGTATCATCTTCTATTATTAAGGATGTGTGGACCAGGATGACCTTGCGTTCTCAAGGATAACCGTCTCCAGAAGTGTCTTGTCTGCTTTCTCTCTTGTACCAGTCTGTGGTGCCATGAGCAGAACCTCATTAATGAACTCTGGAGATTAACCTCAGCAGTAAAGTTGAAAGCCAAGTATAGCTCAAATCCTTTGACTTATAGTCTGTTAGGATTTAATAGTCTTCTCTGATGAATGTCCAATGCTGCAGTGACAAGAGGAATGTTTTGATTGAGCATTTAGCTGTCAGCTCTTCTCCAACACTTTCCCAGGGAGTAAGTGTAATGACTGGAGGTAAATGTTACTGTTTAGTGAGCAATTATTTTTATGTTAAAGTGTCTGAAAACCAATATGCAGAATCAATCATTTTTGACAGAGTAATAATAATTTGTCATTCATGCAGCAATAAAATATAACATTTTGTAATATAACAGCATTATGAAAATAGTAATAATAATAATAATTATTATTATTTTTATTAATTGTAAACATTTTATTATTTGTTATATTTCTATTTTTTGTCAGTAATAGTCATTCATCATCCATACAAATGTAACATTTTATTAACAATATAGCATTTTGAAAATAATTATAATAATAATAATTAATTATAGTTTTTTAAATTTTTCAGAGTAATAGTCATTTGTCATTCATACAACAGTAAACTATACCATTTTTAATATAACATTACTTTATGAAAATAATGATAATAATAATAATTATTAATATAATAATGATAATGACAATAATAATAATAATAATAATAATTATTATTATTATTACATTTGTTAGTATTATTATTAATTATAAATTATTTAATAAAGGTATAAATATTATTTAATAAAGGTTATAAATTTAACACTTTATTTTAAGGTGTTCTAGTTACACGTTACATGTACTTACTATTATAATAACAATAAATTCTGCATAATTACATGCAAGTAACCCTAAACCAAACCCCAATCCTAACCCTAACTATATAGTAAGTGCATGTAGTTAATTCATATTACTCAGTACTTAAATGTACTTAAATGCAAATTCAGAACGATTCAATTCACAATTAGATTCGATTCGATTAACGATTTGATTCTACGTTCTTTAAGTGCATTCACAGGATTATTTAAATGCTTCCCCTAAATTCTTTAAATGCTTAGGCTACGTCCACACGAAGCCAGAGCTTTCTCTATCCGATCTTTTTTTTCCCCTCGTCTCAAGAAATATCTGCGTCCACACGAAACCACAAAACCGACACAAAACGATGTAGTATACATGCCAGACCAGCATGTGGCACTGTAATTATGCCACAGAGATACACTAAAAACGGAGAAGAAGACTTGAACTATGCGCATAAACCTTGCACGCGGTATACAAACGAATATGGAACAATACATTTATTAATCTATGTTAATGTTAGTTAATAAAAAGACAATTGTTCAGTGTTTGTTCATGTTTTTGTTTCTGTTACGTGCCGTAGCGGTGTCTGACTCGGGGCGAGACGTGGGCTGATGACGTCATCGTTTCAGAAAATACATGGATTCACTGTCCACATGAAAACGCAAGGGCGGCGTTTTCAGATTTATCCACTCTGGGACCCGGTTTCAAAAAATATCGGGTTCACTCTCCCAAAACGCCGGGTCCGTATGGATGAAACGCCTACGATACAAAATTTATGCGTATACAGCTAAACACGTCTCAGTGTGGACGGGGCCTTAGTCAGGGGGCAAATTACACAGCAGCTCTAGAAATTGCGATTCATTCAATTCTTAGCGTTTTAAATCGATTACTGACCGAAATCGACGATTCACGATTCAAAAATCCATGTTTCAAGATCGATGCATATGCATTGTCGGGGTTTGTAATCGATGCATCGAGAAAACGAGTGAATCGTTACACCCCTAGTAGTTAGATTTTTATTTCTTCCTCTTGATGTACTGTAGTAACATGTTACTATAATTTCTTTGTCTTGTAAATGTAAGAGAGTTTGTTATTATAAACTCATTAAAGTTACTACTCTTAAATTTGACAAATACATGACAATGCTTTTTTTTTTTAAATGCATATTTTTAGTGGACATTAGAAGTGAAAATGCTACTATATTTTTACTGTATATATTTAGTCACTTTAAGCCATAGTGTAATGTTTTATGGATTACGGTTAGAGGTATCTGGGGGGTTCAGAGGGGTTTTGTTCCTCTTCATTCTCCTATTTGTCCTGATGGCACATCCCCATGCAGCTCCTGATGTATTCTAACATGCATTCTTGTGTATTGTAGGAAGTGGAGCTACAGCTGTGGTCCAGGCTGCCTACTGTGTGCCCAGGAAGGAGAAGGTCGCCATCAAACGCATCAATCTGGAAAAATGCCAGACCAGCATGGATGAGCTCCTGGTATTGAACCTGCTTCCACGTATTTAAACAGCATTGCATTGAACCTGCTGGATATTAGCATGAGTATGAAAGTCAAATGGGTATCAAATTATGCATAATTACATTCAAGTAACCCTAAACCAAACCCTAATCCTAAACCTAACCATATAGTAAATACATGTAGTTAATTAATATGACTCAGTACTTAAATGTATAATTACACTGTAACAAAGACACCTTAAAATAAAGTGTAACCATGCGATCTATCGTTTAAGTCAAGTAGCATATGGATGTCATGTCATAAAATGTATATTATGACTGAATTTGTATTTGACATAACTTAATAAAAACATTGTAAGTTACTAATTATAATGCTTACATTTCCTCAAGTTATTCAAACAGCAGCCACAGAAAACGAGCAAAGAATATTTACATTACCAAAGAACATCATCACTGACTCCCGTTATAATCAGTGAAGCCGACAAGCCGTCTACACTGTTTGCTGAATAAATCCTTATACTTACATCGCACGTACATCTGCACTTTGTAGTTTATGATGAGAGAATTCGCGAGAGAGCAGAATTCAGTCAGCGTGCGCTGAACAACAGAACTCTGGTGTTTCAGCGATGACTAATCTGAACGCAGCTGATTGGCCATTGCATTCATCAACTCAATGGTATCATGTGTGATTGATTATAATGCGCAACACTGTAAAAACGCGTAAAAAGAAATATGATGGAACAAATAAGCCCTGATATTAATTAGATAATAATACTAGCCTGATAATAATAATAATTCTAATAGTAATAATCGTCTTGATATCGTCAAAGTCATTAGCCACAGGCTATATCTCTGACTATCATCGATACACGATACTATCTTCTATCATCACAACCCTAATTGGTATGGATGGATACAAACAGTACTTCCGTATGGAAAACCGTATTTCCATATGGAAATTCCACATGTTCTGCTTAAATATATGAAACCTGTTTGACATGATCCCAGCTGTGCAACATTTAAAGGCTGCATATGAGAAATACCACTAAGTTATGGCTCATAAATGCAAACACCTTTTATGAGCTGACAGTGAATAATGACCGTACAGGACTGATTGTAATACATGGACACAAACTTACTGTAATGTGGGGTTTGTGTTTTGTTTGTGTTTCATGTTTATTGCTCTCATGTCTTCTGTTTTGAAGTTTGGCCACAGTCATGTTCTGTCATGTGATTCCCTTGTTCTGATTGGTTATTTGGGTCATGTGTCTTGTCTCTCATTGGTTGGTTCTTGTCATGTGACCTGCATTGTTTGATATAAATAGCCCTCATGTTGCCCATGTCCTTTAGCGAGTATTGAACTGTGTAACCTGCTGTTGGTGCGTTTGTGTCTCTGTTCAAGTGAAGTCTGTTCATGCCAAGTCAAGTCTGTTCATGCCAAGTATATACTGTATATATAATATACTTATATATATAT